CTTACTCACCGTAATATATGTAATATTAAATTACCAAACTATAGTTGCAGTATTTTTACAATTATTTCTTATTGCAGCGTATACCTACTTTGTAACCACTCGTCTAACATTTTGATATTTGATATCTCACGAAATAATGGCAAATGTAAAAAGTCGACAGTAAAATTAAATCTAAACAAATATTTTCTGCATTTATCCGATTTCAAATAGCCCTATACTAAAGAATAGTGTTTTATCTTAATAGTTTAACATATAATAGCTAAATATATAATTGTATATACAATAATATATTAATAAATGAATAAGCCATCAAGTGCAAAAGTGCACCAGCGCTGCAGTCTCATATTTGAATATTATAACTCCATCATGGTAATATGTATAAAATCGTAATACCTACGGTCTTTAAGTATACTTAAATATTTCAAAAATAAGAATTTGCATAAACGCATACATAATTATTAAGGATAAAATGGGGGTGAATCTCCCTATACAATGTTAAACGTTATCCCACGCTGTAATATTCAAATCATCTGGAGCGTGTATAATATGCATAATATTAGAATTTAATGTGTACCTACACATAATTTATATGCACGACAGTATTCTGACAAAATCGTTTAGATATTTATTAACATGTAAGTATATTAAGTTACCTGTGTCGACAGTTTTTGGTTTTCAACGATCGAGGTGTCGTTTTGTTGGTTTTGATTGTTCGACATCGGTACTGAAACACACATAAAGCATAATATATAAGCACATTAATATTATTCGTCCCAACACACGTCCTCATGTTGCATGAAACAATACTATAGTATACAAAAGACAACTGTCGCATGTGCCCACCACACAAAGGGTTTGAAAAAAAAATTACGGATAGTCGTTTGCCAGAGGGAATGACAAATCTTAATCTATAAGCGCGCACTGAAAAGACAAAACGACACGCCCCAGTTGTCTTATAAAATGAATATAAAAATAAGAATGTAAATAGTGAGTCGACATACTCGGCATCTATATGCGAGTGTCATTTTAATTTTTTAAAGTGATTTCAGTGATTCGACTGGCAAAATTTACTTTTAATCAAGCTAAAATATTTATCATCAAATGCGTTATTCACCGATGTGAACGGCGTATATATATATAATATAAGAAAACGTATTGTCAAAGCGCACTCCATCATAACTCTTCAAAATACGATATCCGACCGATACCACGAGTATATAAGTTAAGAGTATAATCGTGGTGGTTGCTATTTTATTATATTCGTAAAAAAATTATTGCTATACAGACATGCAGTACAGTATATATACATTTTTTAGGCAACAGTCATGTTCGACAAAATGCAAATAACAAAAAATATTATGTATGCAACGCAAATGTCTACCTCAAAATTAAAATAACAAGATGTCCGTTCGAAAACATGATAATATTTGTACATTGAGTTAAAATTCGGTACAAATATTATTTAAAAATAAATAGTGTAATCACGTAGTAACAATAATAAATCGGTACTTACAAATTTAGGGTAATTTTAATTTAAATATTTTAATATAATATGGTTTGACATTGACAGTTAATATAAGATGTATTTTAAGATATTCTCAAAATATTGAGATGCAATTTTATRTTATTAAAATTATAATGATTTACAAATAGGTAGGAAAATATTGTCAACTACCTATGTACTTACGAGGTGCTTTTGGTTTACATTTCTGACGAAACATAAAAACCATAATAAGATAATAATTAATAATAAAATATAGGTATTACACGCCTAATATAATAACTATATAAGTCAAAATATCATAGATAAAAATCGAAAATAAAAATATTGTTTTTTTTAATTAATTCACGCGGGCACGGCTGTATAATATAGTATACCATTCGATTTCCCGCGTCACTTACCTAGTTGTCAGATAGATCTATATAATTTATATGAATTTTTCATTCGTTCTCCAYGCTATATCACCCTCATCGCGATGACGTCATTTATAGACGTCGCATGTTTACAGTATGTATAATACATAGGTACGGCCCTCGATTAGATACTATATATGCCCTCCCATAGCGAACGGAGTATAATAGTACATAATATAGAATATAATTATTTCTAATAAGTAATAACTTTTAACGGTCTGTTTATCGTGCAGCCGCTACGTTTACATAATATGCACCTCTTTATATATTATACGCTCGCAGCTTGTAAAGCGATACAGTACACCATCAGCTCAGCCAACCACCCATCGTCTTCTAAAATACAGTCACATTTACACGACCACTCCGGTAATCGGTATAATGGGGTTCGTTGTTTGCTYTCTGAAAGCGTCTTGTTGGAAAACAAGAGCAAACGGCTTACGCGACGATTTACCGAAACTTTATCGATATTACAAACTCTCGAACACWCATACACGAGATTTTATTATTTAAACCTGATAAATATACGAAATTATAATATGCTTGTTGGGGGGAGGGGGTACAAACAAGATAGCTCAATCATTGATCTCATATTAAACAATAATATTATGTAATATACGTATATGTATATATGTATTTTCAGGTACTGATTATATACTACCTATATACTGTATCTACTGTCTAAACCTTAAATAATTATCTAATGCGTTTTCAAATGGCAACTATTCCATTTTATAATATATGTTCCAATACTACAGAAATCCAAAAACACAAATCTGCAGAAGTACCTAATTCGAAAAACAGTGACAATTTTTGGCTTAAGGGGAGGAATTACCATAGTTAAATACACATATATATGTATAGACCATATATATGTTTAGATACGTATATATTACCCTCAGAGCCTTTTTTTATTTTTATGTTTTAATAATTTATTTAAAAAGTATACATTTTGTATACATACATACTCGTAAACAAAAAAAAAAATCAACATTTATTATTATTATAGTGTTCTTAGACCTTAAGTAAAAAGGTTTTTTATAGTTGATAGAAATATTTTATTCAAGTTTAAATATTTATTTGTTTCCAACTGACAGTTATAGCCTTTAGGTCAATAGAGAAAAGTGAGATAATTTTTGGTAATCAAATAAAAAAAAAAGAAAATCTTCAATATCAATATTCCACTGGACTGCTCTGGACAATTTGATTAATGTTAATGCATTACCAATAGCAAGTATACTAATTAATAACAAGTTATATTGTACCTATGCGTTTAAAAAACACTAATCCGTTATTAAAATACATTGTTTCGGAATTAAATCTTAATGCAAATGAAATCACAAGACTAATGATATATAAGTACATAATAAGATATTTCCTTAAGTAATAGCTTAACAATCCACTGTTATCATATGCAGAGCATGCCTTGAAACACATGATAATAATAGGCATAGGAAAGACGTGGGATGATAGTATATGTTACCACTCGTACGGTCAGTGCAAATAATTAATATGCTCAGACAAACTATTTAAAACGTAGTTAAAATTTGTATAGTATAATTATTATTTATATATATATATATATATATATTTATATATTTGTATATTCCTTAAATACTGTGCACACGAGCCCACGCACATATAAATAGGTATACTAGAACAAATTTGTCAATATTAAAACAATAAAATAATAAGGTGGTGATGATCGGATATTATTTGCTACTATAAAATGATCATAGGCAATAATACTACTATTATGTAATATTATATTTTATAACATATAAATATCTACTTAAAATATTCGAATAAATTAGAGTTTAATCTAAATTTCTAATAAGTTGTTATATTCCTAAACTATTAATCTGAAACTTTAAAATTATTAGTTATTATGCATATAAGATTTTATAGATTCTGAGCAAAACCAAAAATATTGTTATATATTTGTATTCAGTTTACAAAGGATTTTTTTTATATATATCTGTCAGGTCTAAATGTACTTGAAAAAAAGTAATATTTCAATTTATCACAGTATTTTCACCAGAATAACTAACAACATTAAGAACGAAAATTGCAAATAAGAATATCACGGTTACCTAAGTACATTTAACACTGAACTTAACTTGAAATCGTATTTACAATACGATGATGAATATTTTTATCCAATATCTGTATTCATCCTGTACACAAAAATGTACCCAGATAAGAGTATACATCCAGCACATGGGAAACCCCTAACTAAAACCTAAAGGACGAAATCACTATAAATTGCTTAAGAATTGGACACACTAGGATAACCAACGGATTTCTCATGTCAAAAGATGAATCAATCTGTGAAGCTTACGGTACACAGATCACACAGATCTCAATCGAACACATCATACATTTCTACCTAAAAGTAGGTATTCTACCTAAAAGTCCGGCGAACAAAAGTCCGATGTAATAAAAGTCCGGCGAACAAAAGACCGGTTTATTTATTATACATATGTCGTAAAAGAAAATATTAATGTTATTAAAAATAATAGCAATAATTTATAATACAATTATTACAATCAATGTTATAGGTAGGTACAATAAAAATTAAAATATTACATAAGATATGGCATTATAATTTTTTGGTTAGGAATTCATAACTCCGAGCTAAGTGTTGAAGAGTTTTTAACTCAAGTAGGACATAATATTAGGACACGGCCAAGGTGATTAATGTTTTCTTGTATGACACGAAATTTTATTTTTGTATATATTATTTTTATTTAAAAGTAACAATCAATCTGACCAAAAAATTATAATGTCATATTGTATGTAATATTTTAATTTTTATAGTACCTACCTATAATATTGATTGTAATAATTGCATTATAAATTATTGCTATTATTTTTAATAACATTAATGTTTTCTTGTACGTCATATGTATAATAAATAAACCGGACTTTTCTTCGCAGGTCTTTTTTTACCGGACTTTTGTTCGCAGGATTTTTGTTCGCCGGACTTTTGTTCGTAGATTCCATAAATTCATAACCAATCTATACGAACAAGAATGAACATATCAATCTGACTGAAACTCTCGACGAAATCGTTGGACCAAACCAGGATCAAAACACGGAAATCATAAAAAAAATTGAATTAACCAACCGTATTATAGACAAAATATAATCTTAATTAACAGTACTATTTATACATGGAAAATAATAATATAATATGCCCATGAAGGTATGAGCTAATTGAAGTTTGTAAAATTTGAAATTTTTTTAACGAATTTTATGTAATTGTTTGTATTTACTGAGAAATAAATGAAACACTAGCTAATCACGCAAGTAAATATTATTTATTTAATAAAACCGAGTTATTTTCGTTATTAATAGTATTGCTTATGAATTATGATCATTTGATATATCGATATGGGAACAGAATTATAGCATTGCAAACAAGTTTGAACTTCGATATGCTTTAGAGGACATCACACCCGCGTGTATTGTCTCCGACTTACACATATACGACATACCAAATTTATGCTAATAACCAGTTTCAATAGTGTGTTGTTAGTTTAGGATCGTGTTGGACACTTGGACACTTGGACGTCCCACCGAGGGAAAAATATGATCTCTCTATAGCACGCCGAGAGTGGGATCCGTATAGATTAAAAAATACTCGACGCTTTGCCGAAATTGTTGGTGCGTGCCRGAGATGGATATTTTTATGACTATTATGAGTATGGGTACATGCACATAGACCATATACTCCATCTGAGAGCAGTGAGAGCACAATAGCCACAAATCAAAATATGACATTATGATAATCCCACATAGACACGTTGTTGTGATGTTATTAAAATGCACAAACTATCTATTATTTTAATATTTTCAAACGACCGTTTTCCAACGGCGGAACACGAGCACCGGACAAGACTTTCGATATGTTGAGGCGTTTCAAATCATACCTATACGGACGGTCGACAGAAAATATATGATATCAAGTAGACTGCATCAAATTCTGCATCGCCTATATGCGCACTCATATATTATATTATATAGGTACCTACTTTACATACACATCGAAGCACGCCACAATACCGTATCCGAAGCTCCGTCAATCTTTGAAGCCAGATCATACGAGTACGGGGCGCAGTTCCAACAATGATATCTAACTAATATTTTTTTAATTATTACGGATGATTTCATTTTTTCTATCCCTCCCAATACTTATCGACTTGTTACTTTCTTATGACAGATAGATAGATTTTAATATGTATTGTACAGAAATAAAATTACAAATACATAAAAATAAACTGTTATTATTATTATTATTTATTGAGCATTAAAGCTTAAACAGCTAAGTCATTACTCATTAACCTGGGATAGTATATTTAGTGAGTTATACAATTTTATCTTAATATTAAATTGTTGAGTCAATGCCGATGTATTTTTGAAAAAAATATRAATCAGGTGTGTATTGTGTTCTCCTAGTGTTTCGTCCCATTACTATTATTATTTACAATGTAAATTATATTAAATTCCTAGAAATAAATTCAATGACGCCACGCTACCGTAACAGCCATTCTGCATATCTAAAATAATCTGAATGGCGAGAAAGCTCATTGAATGGTGGTTAAATTATGAATGTTTTTATACGTAGTATTTAGATTTACCCTTGTTATACGAATAATATATAATAATATAAACATAACAATAATATCAATAAATCTACGTCTTATGTGACCGAAGGGCGATGATCATACAAAAATCGAAAACACTTATAATAACGTTAACCACATGCAATTTGTAATGTCAATATAATAATAATATAGTAATAATTTGAAATGTTAATCTATGTTAAGTGCTGTACTTAACAAAAATATCAGTGTCCGAGCGGCATATAAAATAATAATTATCCTGTACAGTCTATACAGTATAGATACCTAACTAATTATTGGTCAATAATCAAGTGATATAAATTCTTCTAATTTATACCTACTAAATTTTTCGACAGTGTGTCTTACTGCACTACAACATTTTGTTTATAATATCGCATCGATAGTAATAAAATYAAAGAAAATAATCATAATATAGGTAATCTAATCACAGAATATATATTTCATATATTCTGTGATCTAATCATCCACATGTTTTTAACTTTTTATAAAACGAATCGCAACATCATGTGCAGAACTACTGAAATATAAAAAACTAACTATATAATATCAGAGTGTACGTTACGGTTATAATATAAGTGAGTTGATAAATAACTGATTCATGTATAAAATACTGTCGCAGGAAAACATGAAAAACAATCTAAAAACTAATTATTGAATTCTACGGCCGCTTGATATATTAGAAGGCAAACGAAGAGATAAGATATGTCAACATTAAACGATTAATACCTATTATCGTGAAACTTTTGTAACGGCAATAGATGGGTGAAATATAAATAACAAGAAGTTAAATTCGACAAATATTTGTTTATCGATAAATATGGAATAACAAGTATTCTACAACATTGAAAATAAAATAATATAGAGTATAAGCATAAGACTATATGAGCATACGACAAAATATACATAATAATATGTGAATAAGTACATCTAGTCGAATTAYGCATMACACATTTTTGGTGCAGTAGGCAGTGACATATTACAATTAGTTTTCATAAAARCACAGTTACAATATAATATCGTCCCAAAGACTTAAATAACTAAAATAATATTATATTAWACGGTATACAGATAAAAATATAATATTATGTGATTAGTTTAAAATGTAAATTGTAGCACCTAAACTTTGTTTGGACTATGTAGTAAGTGCAGTCTAAGTGCAACAGTCATTGCTAYTAATTATATGATTTGACGAAAACGAATGCGATTTTAAGTTTTAACACAATATCTGTAACAGCAGTCGATTGTATTTTTTTATTCAGTTTATTTTAATTGCAAACGTTTACAATTAGTATAACTAATACTAATGATAACAGAGCAATCATAAGACTACGGAGTTCGACTTGATGATTTTTTAGTACAATAGAAATATCACACGCACTATCTCACTTATTCTTGTGCATATCACACTCAAATCAAATAAAACAATAATATTAATAATTATTATTACAACATTAAGGATCGTAATATTACTTATTAGTTTAATTTAGATATAGATACAATTCATGTAATTTTTTTTCCCCCTTTATATTAATAATTTCTCACGTTAAACCCAATGGCCCATGTTGCCGAGGGTATTCATTAATAATAAAAAAAAAAATTACTTATTAGTGAAATAAATAAAATAAAAATAGTTAATTAATATCCACTAAAATGAGACCTGTTGTATTTAAATAAACGCAAGACACAATACATAACAATGTTTTAATAAATAAATGGTATATTTTAGTTTAAATAATACGAAATATATTTTAACAAAATAAAGAGCGTCTTATAGTTGTGAAAGCACGATGTTCTACGCATATTTGCGATATCCGAGCGCGGTTTAATTTTCAGACACCAACAAATTGTTTCAATCGAAATTATAATATCTCCTCCGCAATACCAAGTTTTTCGCAACRAATTTATAAGCGACCATTGGGGACTTAACTAGTTACCTAAATTCCTAAATACCCACGAAAACCGCATGACTGCTGTAGACGAAAGAATAGATTGTCTGCTCTGAGTACATCGCCCTGTAGTACGCGAACAACAACAAATACACATAATATATTACTCTCTATAAAATTATAATTTATAACTATATCATACTGAAAGGACTATTATTTATTTCCATATCGCAGCCCGCATAGCGTATTGTATATATTATCACTCGATGAATTGATCGATGGTCGACATCAGACCAAATAATTATTTTTATTTTATTTTATCATTCCTGGTGGCTAATTTTTATGCGTGTGATATTGATTATGCAATTTTTCTGACGATGAACGTCAACCCAAMATTTTAATTTTGGATTCTAACCGATATACTAAAGCTATATATTAATAATGGCTTAAAGCAACATTAGTGAAAGGTATTACAACGAAATTTAACTTTTTCGGATACAGGGAATGTATCGTCAATGTTCATTGTTGTGTGTATATCAGGAATTCATTATATTTCATATTTTATATAAAATAGAATTGAATATCTATATCTATATCATATGCAATGTACATTTATGATTCCTAGAATATAAATTTGTTATCTGTTTATTATAATATATATTATCATATACGTTGAACGAATTATTTTTCAATTGTTTTCAATTTACCTATCAAATATATTAATATAAAATAAATACTTTTATAAAAGTCTATTAACATGTATGTTATGATTTATGAGTTGAATCATCTTATCATCAATGGTGCATATGGAAGTACCTATAAAGGTCATGTGGGAGTAAAGAAATCAATTATATATGGTGCACATTAAATGCACGAAACTAATCGAATAAAACAAAATCATCGCCATTACATATATTTTATTTAACCTCATTCAACATAGGCGTGTTCAGACTT